CCAAAGGACATCTCTTTGCGCCAAGTGTCAGAAGCCAGCGTCATAAAGCATTTATTTTTCACTTGATTCATCTGTGGGTGAAGGTTCATGGTTCGTTACATACGTCCTGGAAACAGCTGTTAGTATGAGCTGACTTTCTTCCCACCTTGCCCCTGCTCCGGAGTGCGGCCACGTGTACGTATGGCCCCGGCAGCGAGCTCTAAGAGCAGGAAGGGTTCAGAGCTGTATTTTGCTCTGCGTGCCACGTGTGGCATGTAGGCTTATAATTAAGTTACTCATTACCTTTTCTTCTTGGAAGGAGCCCTTATCTATCTATCTGTAGATAGTGTGAAGAGCCGGCTTTTAATTTTGTACTTGACAGCACATTGGAATGATTTTGCTTTAATCTCCTGCTAAGCACTGTTAAAATGCCTACTCAGTGGAAAATTACCTTATCAATACCATTAAGTGAGAACAGCAGTTGAAGAGGCCTTTATTGTACAGCCCATTGCCAAAGACTAATAAATCCTTGTTATGAAGTTTAATGTAGAAGGTCACACCTGCAGAATAGGATGCACTTCCTTATCCTGCATCACGGCAGGAGCTTGCTGTTTGTCCTGTAAAGCCTGGGAAGGGATATCTTTTCAACTTTAAGAACACAACGAACTTTTAAGCAGTATCCAAATGAACCCAGTAAAGAAACTGGCAAGGCAGGAAGGTCACATACACAGTAAAATACCTTGGCACAGGCTCAGCACACAATGGAAAAAAGAAAAAAAAAGGGGCGTAGGGGAAGAGGTATCCCGACTGAATTCACAGAAGCTGCAGCCAGCCAGTCTAGTCAGTATGAAACGTATATGGAGACCAGTAATTTTCTAGGAATCTCTCTGCAAGGAGTTAATTTCCACGGCTTTTGGCACAGATGTCTACTTGGTAAACAGACATCCAACTCAGGGTGGTTACTCCTTCCACCAGCAGCCACACTCTTCACTCCAGGAGAGGGAAGATTTTTTGGCACAAATTCTGCCCATTGTGGGGGAAAAAAGGTAAAGTGATCCACGCAAAGCATTTGTAACTTCAGCAGGGGATGGCTGGAACATTCTTATGATTCCTGTGTTAGAAACACAAGTCACCCAAATAATTTTAGATTTATTCTAAGTTGGCACAGTATAGTTGGCCAGTTTGACTAAGTGGAAACTGGAGGGTCAGGAGAAGACACCAGGATGAAATCCAGGTCTAAAAAACAACTGTATTTGTATCAGTGAAATGCCTATGTTTTGGGCAGAAATAGTTACAGGCATCATAACGTTGCGGGAATCTCAAGGAATAAACTCTTCTAAGTGCTGCTGAGTTAGTGCCTATAGAGTACATCGTTTTAGTATACACATTTGACTGATTTTATGTTAAAATCCAGGAAGGCTACTGTTTACATGAAATTTACTTGCATGTAGTTTTTTATGGATGTGTTCACTGAACAAACAGGCTACCGTGAAGCTCTACAATTATAAAATTGTATTACACTGATATTATAACCCAAGAAAACAAAGAAACCCATCCCTTTTGTAAAGTCTCGTTACATGCAACCATGTTTAGCAGAAAGCTCCACTGGGTTCAAACCATAAACTTGGAAGTGTCAAATGAGATCAACCCATTTTCCCGCTGTAGCAAATTTGCATGTCAGACTGAGACAGTCTCTCCAGGGGAACTGAAAGCAGGTGCCGGCACAATCCTTTCAAACAACCCTACTCCTCCGCTGTTTACAGAAGCACACACACACGGGCACTGAGCACAAAAGGAACTGTTTGCTCAGTTTTCTGTCTAAAGAGCCAGCTTCTTTACGATCTTTATTGCACGTCACACCTGCTCTGTAAATGCAGAATCTCCTGTATCCTTGGGAGTAACACCTCAATCGCAGCTGCAGCCGAACCAGCCCAAGGAGGCCCGGATAACACCAACCTGGAGATTTATTTAGGGTTTGCCAGCTGATATCAGGTGGAAACTTGGAAGTGCAGGTATGGAATGCAGCAGAGAGCATAACTATGGGTCTGCACGAAGCTTCATTCAGGTAAAAGCAGTGATAGTGTTAAAATCAAACATGCGCGCACGCACAAAACTCTTCGTCTTTTCTTTTGCAAATGTGAATCTGAGTTACTGCCTTTCATGTTCTGCTGAGGGGGGGCTTTGTAGTACTTCCCCTTCTCAGAAGGCTCACTGCGTGCTTCACACCAACAGTATCATCAACTTGATACCCCTCAGACCAAGCCAGTTCAGGCAAATAATTTGGCAGAAAACTAATTCAACAACCCCTCAACCCAACCAGCCTCTCTAAGCCCACAATACCTTTTTCCCTTTTTCTCCTCCTTTCTGCTGTCTGTGAAAATGCATAAAAGAATAACAACTGGAAATATAGAAGAGGGGAGACATGGAAAGGAGGACTCTTCCTCTTGACAGTAGCCTCAAGATAGATGAATTCCAAATCATCAGAAATCATGCCTATAATATACATCCATGTTGTGTGACTGTTCTGCCCCCCCAAACCCTCCTATTTGCTATTTGGACCATGTTCATACCAGTGTGGTGGAGAAAACCACTTTAAATTAGTTTCACCAGGCCAGGATGCGAGGAGTCCATTTGCTGGACAATGGCAGAACATATATGGAAAAGTCAGGCCTTGTCTATCACTCCTGCCCACCACTAAAGTGTCCCAGGAGTTTCCTCAGAATTGATTTTCTGAGAAAAAAAATCAAGCAGCTTTTTGTGTGCTTGTTTTTCCTCCCTTAGAATAAGCACCCACATGAACTGAAGAAGGTTGGGCCAAGACCCACAAGAAACAACTAACTGGGTCACCAACTACAACTAGAGAAAACATTAGTGGCGCAGTCCTGTTGTCTTCCATACAGCTACAGTTTCAAAGCATCTTGGCAGAACCTGATACTACTATTAGGTCCTTCAAGGCTGGTGGAACCCAGCTGTTTTTCCACCCTCTATGCTGTGATGGACAACAGACAAACAAAAATTGGAAAAACAAAACTAAAAGAAGTTAAAAAGTGGGCGTTTAAAATCAGATTTCCAGGCAGACTATGCAGGAAATTATGTGACCATTATTAACACCGTGTGCTAAACTTTTAATGTAGATTTCTTGCTTCCCTGAAGCCACACGTCTTTCCCGCCTGTTTCTGCAAACTATCACCTCACCTTTGCCAAAGAGAAGCCCTCCTCATGGCCTTTGTTTGCCCTATCTACCGCAGACAGCTGGGACGAGACTCTCCCCCTTACTCTTTGCTGGACTCCCCCCGGCGCAGGAAGCAGCTGGGGCAAACCCCTCCTCTTGAGTCACAAGACTGACTCATGGGATTTAGACCACTCACACTTGGCAGCTTTGCCCCCACAGGGTTGTGCAAAGGAGGTCTCCACCTCCCAGATCTGAAGGTACAGCAAGGAGGTACCGCCCAACCACTTCTAAACTATGTGACACCCTCACAATGCCCTCCCTCTAGGAAAAGGAGGAGAGAAGGTACAGCTGAAGAGCAGAGGTGAGGTGGCCAGGCTGAACTGCGTCACCGAGCTGATGAGATGGCAACCTCACGAGCACCAAGACCCACTTCTTAGGGCACTCTCTGGGGCAACAAAAATGATTGAGGGATTGGAGCATCTCCCTGATGAGGAAAGGCTGAGAGAGCTGGGACTCTTTAGCCTGGAGAAGAGAAGGCTGAGGGGAGACCTTATTAATGCTTACAAGTATCTAAAGGGTGGGTTGGAGGAGGATGGAGCCAGACTCTTTTCAGTGGTTCCCAGTGACAGGACGAGGGGCAATGGGCACAAGCTGGAACATAGGAAGTTCCACTCAAATATGAGGAAGAACTTCTTTATGGTGAGGGTGGCAGAGCCCTGGAACAGGCTGCCCAGGGAGGTCGTGGGGTCCCCTTCTCTGGAGATCTTCAAGACCCACCTGGATGCAATCCTGAATAACATGCAATCCTGCTGTGGCAGGGGAGTTGGACTAGATGATCCCTAGAAGGTCCCTTCCAACTCCAACAATTCCATGATTCTTTCTTTGAAGCACAATTTGCTTCTTCTGCCTTTGAAAGACAGAGTCACACCTTTGTCCAGAGTGGCAGGCTGCCCCAGCAGGCTAAAGGGCACGCATCCACCTCTGATTACTCATTCACCACGGTAATTATTTTGTCCGCTTATGGCTAATGACAAGGGCCTGCTTTATGTAAGGCACATGACAAATATTCTCTCTCTCCCTTCGTTTCCCTGCAGCAAAGCACATCCTTGCTGATGTCACAGGGAAATAGGGCAACTCAGTTCAGCTGCTGGATGTAATCAAGTCTCCTTGAAGTTCCTTTGATAAAGATGACTTGTAGCATCCATTCTAGAACCATAAACAGAACTATAGACTTCTGTTATTGATACAGAATTAAAGAGAGGGAAGTAGAGAAGAAGGGAGAGGATGAGGTCAGAGTCCAAAACGCTGCATAAGCTGTGTCAATGGGCAAGAACAGAGTAGGGAAAAGGACAGAAAAGGGAAAAAAACCCCCAAACATTGTGATAGCTTTCTTGTGAAACTAAGCATTCCAATAATCTCATGATAGCTGAGGGAGGAAAAGCAAAGGCTGCAATAGCGAGGACAGTCAAATCTCAGATTTCTGAGACCATGCTCAGATGGAACCTTGAGCCAGGCAGGCACATCAGAGAGCTCCCAAGGCTGCCTCAACAGTACGATACGCATCCAATAGCCTTCAAGGAGGAATCACTTGTGGAAGCCATCAAAGTTTCCTCAAAACTCTAGGGGCCAAATTTGCTCCTACTGTCTCTGCAGTCTGGGAAGACCTTGAGTACAGCTGAGGAAGAGGAAGCACATGGGCAGGATGCAGTCCCTAATCCTTTGTGCTGGGTACAGGGTTTTGCACACATTGTGCCACACGTGAGGTACAACCCTACTCAGATCACGAGTACCACATTTGACTGAAACTAAGGATGGAAGCGGATTCATCCAAATTACAGTACCGAGCCCCTTGTTTCAAAAAAGTTTATTTAAACAAAGTCGGTACATTTCACAGAAATGGTTACAAAATGCATAGCATATTATAAACAATACTGTTACTTTACAGATACTAGTTGTTATTATCCTAAATATTGCATTTTAAAAACTAACCAGCCTGCTTGGTGAATCAGAAAGCTAAAAATCCCCAGTTATCCTGTCTTAGGCACTGTGAAAAAAAAAAAAAACAACCAAAACAGGATGATATACCAAAGCAGGTGTCCACTTTTTCATTCACTCTACTGATTGTATTGCTGCATCATTAATTCACCAGTTCCTGGTATGTGGAAAGATCCGGCCCCTGGAGTCTCATACCAAGAACAGATTTCTATCAAGTGGAGCACAAATTGCACTTGCTCAGCCAACCAAAACCTCACGCAACGCCAAGGAGGGATGACTGAGGGTCTTTACACTGATTAACTTAATGGACAGACCATTGAGTGGACAAAAAGCGTAGCAGTTTTTTAAAGTTGTGCAGATATGTCACACCCATGCTGCTATTCATAAGCAACTTGATTGTAAGTTGGGAAGTCCATACATATTTCAAGCCTGACTTCAATGGAAGCTGAATGTCCAGTAGAAACAGACCTTGCCCTCAGTGGTGATGCAATGCCACAGAAAGTGGAATTGAGCCCTTTTACAGCACCTGAGAACCAAGCACACCTTGAAAATTCAGAAATTCACATAAGGAAGGCCAGAGGTGTCTTTTTTCTGATCTTTGGGATGCCAGGGCACAAAGAAATAAAAACGAAGAGCACAGCACTGATTCATAACCATAGCTGAGACAGATACCAGCTCATTCACACAGCACTTCAGCAATAGTTGTGACTGAAATTCTTCCCATTTACACCTCTATGACAATAAGCAGAAAGCAAATGCTGAGGTAAAAGGAGATGCACTAGGTTTGCACTGGTGTAAGCAAGTTTAGAATCAAGCAAGCTATCAAATCCATTATTTCACACAAAATAGAGAAAGAAAAATCCCCTTATTTTCAAAACATATAGATACATGTAGACAAAAACATATAGATACATGCTCAAGAATAAACTGACTTTCGGCATTATGACATGAGCTTTACAGTAGTTTAAACTTGGCTTGGACTGAAATCAAAGAAGCTTGAACTCTGGCCAGCAGAGCTCCTTTGGAACTGTTTGTCAAGAGAGAAGAATGAGGTCTGAAGCAGTCCAAGAACATCCGTGTTTCATTCACCATCTTCAAGTAGTTTTTGTAAGTTGTTCTGTATCTTAGAAAAAGAGAGAAAAATAATTGGGAGGCAGGAAGTGTTACACTGTATTAAGAAAACCCACAAAATCAAGACATACTCTTCAATATACTCTCTCTATGCATGTTAATTCTGTCACAACTATTCATATCAATGGTATTCATGTGAAATGCTTCCTGCACCAGAGTCAAAGGAAACATCTGGATATCATCAGCCACAAGTACACCTAGTTTTCATACTATGAGCATCTCCTGCTATTTCCTCCCACAGATTCTCTCCTTCATGGTGAAAATAAGATAGAAAAAACTTAGAGCCAGAAAGGAAGGGACAAGAAACGCAATTATTTTGAACCTGATCAAACCCCAAAAAACTCTCAAACTTCAAAGTTGCAGCTCTTAGGTTTAAGTGGATAATCCAAATAGTTTTGTAACAGCTTCAGCCAAACAGCTGGCTATGATGCACGTGCAGCAAAATAAGGTCTTCTCACCATTAGCAGACATGTCCCATTTGCCAGATCAGGTGTACTGAGTATGGGTTATCTTCCCCTCGTTACACTGAAGGCTATGCCAGCCAGTCACATCAAGGATGATTTGCACAGACCTATTTTACACAGCCTATTTATACACCTTTCATCTCCTTGTCCTTTAAAAGCAGAGAGGGGGGAATATAGTGGGTCACATCCCCAGGCACACATGTTCTCTCTATCTTAGTAACTAGCAGTCAGTGGCTACAGAAGGTTTAGTCACAGTTACTTTCAGACTGTAATTTAAGGAGCCACTGTACTTCCTGCTCAAGGATACTATTTCTTAACCCTACCTCATGATTTCTAGCCTAGATGCACACCTTTTTCAAGAGGCATTTTGGGGAAAGGAATAGAGTAAGCAGTACCAAATTTTCTAAGAGTCATTTAACACATACTTATTCTCTTACTGTACTGTAGCTTGTTGAAAGGAAATTCCTGTGTATCACTAGGTGATGCTTTCCCTCCCCCAACTTAACGCTTCATCCTCTGATAGATGTGGTGCATTTTAACAACTTGTTAAACACACTCAAAAGCCAAAGCAAAATTCTGCTAAGTCACAGTAATTCCTTGGCTCCGAGTATGAAGTGCAGTTTGTAAAAATCATGAGGTCACACTGAAAAAGTCATTGCACCACAGTCCAGCATCGAAGGTTTTTTTTTTTTCCTGGTAAGGAATTCGCAGTTTCTAACCTAGATAACTTCTGTGCTCTAGTTTACAATGCTGCAGTTGCACAGGGAGCGAGGGGAGAGACAACAAGTTACACAGGAACTTTTATGCTACGTTAGGTGCTGCAGCCAATTACTAGCACTTTCTGCTAAGGCATATGAAACAGTTAAGCAACCTCAGTGACTTTGCCCAGAGAACATAAAGCTACTTGATTTCTACCAGTTTTCCAGTGCGAGAGTAGGGTCAAACATCCTGTTCTGACCACTTCTCATCTAGATTAGAGAGGATTGGGATGTGGCAATACGCAGCTACAGGCAATACTCATTTAGCTTGTATGCACAGCAGGGGATTGTGTCTTGAGCATTTGGCAAATACAAGGTGAAATTTTAAGGGTCCAATCCTGCAGACACTAACTGAAAAAAGCACATGACTTAAGATTCTAATTCAGGACAGAGGGCCACTTCTCTGGGAATAGCTGAATGATCCAACCATCCAGCTGCCTTTTGCTGTGTCTCCAAGCAGAGACTATATAAGGGAATGGGAAGGCGCCTAGCCCTGCTGCAAAGGGCTGGCTGGCTGGCTTCCCACTGGAATGAAGCGAGGTCTCCCATGAACCAGTTTGCCAGCCTGTCCCAGACAGCTGGAAAGCACTAACCTCTTAAATGACCCAATTTGGCTAAAGATTGTATCTGGTAATCATCTGGTAAGCATTTTCCCCTTGTATTCATATTGTTATTACCCAGAGTATACAGAGGGGTTATGCTAGCAATATTACTCTAGACTTCCACAGCCAAGGGGGTGGAGATCTGAGGGGAAGAAAACCTCTTTTTGGCAGTCTTTGTAAAGCCTATGCCGCACAGGTAAAAAGTGACATTATATAATCCCAGCTTTATGCTATTTGAGAAATTTGGTTTTGGAAAAAAAGGTGTTGAAAGACCTTGGCATGCACTCAGTTTTAGAAACAGAGGGAAAAATACCCTGTGTGACCTCAGCACATAGGAATTCAAGTAACTTTTGTTTTTCCCTCCACTAGTACTTTTTTCCATGCTTGGCCAGTGTTCCATTTCATACACCTGCAGCGGGGGCAGCAGTCGAGGTTTGGGGGCAGGGAGCTGATGGGGCAGCTGCTGTGGGAAGAGGCCAGGGGCTGCACCGTGCCAGGTACAGCAGTTCCTGCAGCCTCCAGTGGACCCACACCAGGGCACAGGTGACCCCCTCAGCCAAGATGGTGGTGGAGCCTCTGGGAAAGTGTATTTAAGAAAGGGGAAAAACACCAGAGAGAGGAGAGTAAGAGGGGGAGAAACAGCAGAAGGAACACCGAGGTCTGAGAAGGAGGAGGAGGTTCTCCACAGCAAAGAAGATGTCCACACTACAGTCCGTGGAAAACCCATGCCAGAGCAGGCAGTTGTTTCCTGAAGAGCTGGAGCCCTTGGAGAAACCCCCACTGCAGCAGGAAAAAATATGGGAAGACAGGAGCAGCAGAGAGAAAATCATTATGTACTGACTGTATCCCCACACCAGCCCCACTTGGGGGGCAGGGAGTAGGGTGAGGAGACGGAGCAAAGGAGTGAAGTTGAGCCTAGGACAGGGGGGAGGAAAGGTGTTCTACCATTTGTCTTTGTTTCTTACTACCCAAGTCTGTTTTAACTGGCACTATATTAAATTGATTTTCCCCAAGCTGAGTCTGTTTTGCCTGCAATGGTCACTGGCAAAGCAATATCCCTGCCTTTATTTTGACCTGTGAGGTTTCTCCTTGTATTTTCTCCCCCTACTCTGCTAGGAAGGAGAGAGTGAGAGATTGGCTGGGTGGGCATCTGACTTCTGGCCCAAGTTAGCCCACCACAGCAACTGAAGTGGAAAGAGGGTCTGCAGGCTCGCTCTTGTTTTACATAGGTTTCCAATTTAAGTCAGCAAGTGCATTTAGTTTTCCAATTAGAGAATGGTAAAAAGGTAAAGGTCAGGTATAGGGAATTACATAACTGGTGCAGCAGCATTTGCTTTACTAAGAGGAACAGGTAGATCCCAGCCACTTCATACAAAGAGGCTGACTACAGATTAAAGTGAGCATCATTCTTCCAAATCAAAAAAACAAAACTCAAATGAAAGCCTCTGACAGAAAAGTTCAAATAGTAATAAAAGTTAAATCCAGAATCCTTAGCCTTGATGAAAAAAACCCACATGAGATCATTACATACAATAATCAACCCTCAAGTGTCCAGTGCATTAGTACTTCTGGTTGTAAGCTTCAGCTCAAGCCAAATGTTTACATGTACCAGTGCTTGTACTTGGACTAATTTATAGTCCAAAACCCAGTCCTTTGGTCCAGGAAAACATGCCAGCTCCCGGTGTCAAATCTGGGGGTAACTTAGCACTTTTCAAAATAGCAGACAACAGAAATTCAGCAAGAACATGACTAGTGTATCGGCATTTGCATATATCATAGGAAGTTACCTTTTCCAATTTTATAAGGTTAGCAGTTAACTCATCACAAAGGGCATCAGTGTTAATTTGGAGATGAGATCCCAAACCTTGGCGCATAGGATGTCTGTCAAACAGAAGGAAGAAGTGTGACAGAAGTGAAAAAGAGGAAAACAGAATTGGGACATACATTTAAGATCAGAATACAGTGGCGACATTGTGAATTGCACTTGTTTACAGAAACAAAGGCCTAAGTCACTTCTGCACTCTTGACTACATTCTTTACGAGGTCTCAATTCTCCAGAAGTTTGGACAGAAAACTTTACAGCTATTTACACTGCAAATAAGTTGAGAAGTTGCATAAATTCCATGTCCTGTGACTTGGAGGAAATCAAGAAGCCCAACCCCTTGACACTGTAAAACTGCACATTAGGTCACCCTGTGTCTTCTACTGTTTGTGATCAGAGCAACAAAAAACAGGACTTTCTCGTGTAAGAGTGCTTTAGAAGAGGGACACAGCTTCCTGCTAATAAAAATATGCCAAACTTCTGGCTTTTGAATTTTGAAAATGGCTTTTGACATTGCCTACTATGAGAGGCAGATTTACCCTGCCCCCGCCACGCATTATTGGCAAAATATAAATGCAAGCTTGTTTAAGATAAAGAACCATTTCCTTCCTACTTGTTTTTTTACCAAGAACCTAGCTCTGTCTTCTGACAGATGCATACAAGTCCTAATGCCTTCCACAGAAGACAGCTGAGAGTAGCTGGATCCTAAGAAGCACAGTCATTGTTCAATATGACCGCAACTGCATTGTCAGAGTGACCTGTTTGTCACAGGTGGGTCACCAGAGAAAATAGAATTAACAAATACACTTATTAAAGAGCTTGCTACAGGTTTGAAACACCTTGCAGATGGTTCGATCCAGCCTAGGTACAGCTCTGTCTTGCATTTTATTTTCCCTCTCTCTTCTTCAGGTGGTACTTCTTCAGCTGTCTGCACTCCCACTCATGCTGCATGTGGCTGCAGGTTTTGCACTGAGATTTACAAACGACTTCTGAAGTTTTATTTTTCAGAGCAGCTCAGAAAAAAAAATCAGTTATATGAAGGGAAGAAGAGTTAATGCAAAATTTAATGCTGAACAAACTGATTAGTACTCTCAGCAGTGTCCAGTTCTGTCCTAAGTATCCAGCCTTCTCTCCTGAGAGAGGAAGAGGAAGCTGATAAAACTTACAGTGGGTTACTACTGTGGTGTATGCTCCTGCACCACCTCTCCCTTTGATGCTTGCATACTTCCTAACCATGCAACACAGAGACTATGCAGGGGCAGATGACATCTATGACTAGATGCAGAATGGAACTATCTATACAGCTATGGCCCTTTTCCCTATTTCCTCTTCAAACACACAAAGAACCTTCCCTTAGTGTGTCCGGATTTTTTTTGTGCATTTTGTTTTGGTTTTGTGGTGTGGTGAGGTTTTTTTTATTTTATTTTTTGATTTTAGCAAGATAGGATAACGATTTCTAAAGACAACATAGGCAGCCCAAAGCTTTAGAAAACATACAAGCAACTCAGATGTATTAGCCCAAAGATTACAAAGTACCTCCTGTCATCTCAGGCTAATCAATGACATTAAGACTGAAGACAGAAGTTTTATCTTTTCCACAGTATTGTTACTTTCGAAATGAACTGCTCACTTCAGCAGTTTACACTGAAGTTATAGCTATCTGAAACATTCTCAAGGCAGTAATAACCCATGATATATTGCATTTGTACTAGAAGTCGTAAACAGAAAGCTGTGAGATAAGGCTAGCACAGATACAAGAACCACAGGACAGTAAAGTCCCACAAGGGTACTACAGTATCACAGTGGTTTCTGAAGAAAATAGATGAGTGTGACAGATACTGGAAAAAGATTTTAAAACCCCAGAATTTTACAGAATATATCTTACTCCTTAATATGTGACTCAAAGGATGTGATGGAAATAAGGCGTTCCTCCAGGACATTGATCTTGTATCTCATGTAGAAGGTAGAAAATATTAATACACAAACACTACAAAAGAAAAATAAGGCACATGAGTTAATGGAAACTTTAGAGGTACTTGACAAATTTAATGTTATAGGCCATTTAAATTGTTACATGTACGTGTTGAATAATAAAACTACTGCTTTTAGAAACACCTCAGGAATACCCATCAGTGACACTGAGACAGTTATGAAAATCTAGCTTTGAGTATGGCTTTGCTAAGTGACATGTAAAATGAACATGCAAGTAGTTAAACTCTTAATGTTTCCTGAACCAAGACACCCTTTGCTTTTAAAAGTAAAAAGCCTATTAAGTAAACTTGCCTTGGCATTTCTTCTTCTGAAAAGTCTAAAGGCCACCATTCCCAATAATTTCTTTTTTTCAGGCAAAGGTTAGATTATATTAATGTAATCATAAGAAAATTCTAGTATTTGGACAATCTTGGAATTAATTGTCAACTTACAGAAACGCGTAAAATATAAGTACATGGTTCAGAGATAAAAGCTTCTGGGACTTCACTTTATGGAAGAACCTGAAGGCTTCAGAATGGCCTGTGAGAAAAAAAACAAGTGTTACTTTGATCAAAGCAGACCACAGTACACAAACGGGTTTTTTTTAAGCATGCAACAGATACATAAATAGAGGGATAAACAAGAAAGAGAACTTCCAAATTACGTGAACTGACATAACTACACAAACTTAACTTAGTCCAGCTGAAGATCTCTCCTTGACTCCTTACCATTTCGAAGACTGTTCCGGGTTTTTCCATCAGGTGCACGTTTACTGTGTGCATCTGAGCGGACAGACTTTGCCTCAGCCTTGGAAACTTTCAAGTGAGTCTGTGTCTCAACGACATGGTAATCTGTTAACAGCAAGATTTGTAATGAAGCTAAATATGAAGTCAAAGGAAGCTGCTGGTAGCTTATGTTAGTCAAGGAGTTGGGGAAGACGACGATTTTAAAAGGTGCGTTTCTGGACTAAAAAGCACCAGTTGGTTCAGTAGCCTTAAAACAGTTTGCATAGTAATTCCAAGTCATCACAAGATATAAAGAAGCACCTGGACTGGAAGAGGATGATGTATGCTGCACTTAGATTTCTAGATCCTCTGAAAGATGGCAACCTATGCGAACTTCAAAGGTTATCACTGCATTTCCAGTCTGAAGATTATAGAGATGCAAAAGTCATCTCTCAAAAGGACTGAATGTGCTGAAGTAACGATTCCAAATCACTTTAACAGCAACATCAAATGGAGATATTGCTCCCTGTCCTGACTGTTTTTTAAATGCAGATGGTGTCTTGAAAGAGATGGGACAGAAAAATCCAGTCGCACTCAGTTTTGTTCATGTCTTACCTGCACATGCAGGACTGCTCTAATGATGCACAAGAAACCAAAACACAAGTGGCAGACTTGTGCCCCCCCCCCCAATTCCTTTTCCTAGGGTGATTCTTTAACTGGATATTGTTTTTTAAAGAAAATGGAAAGGTTTGAAGTATCTATTAGCTGTAAGGAAGACAGCCAGTAAAAATCATTATTCAGAAGCACTCATGTGGCAAGTGATGACACCACAATGTAGTTACTGCTTGACAGACACCACCACTTAATTAAAAATACACACAGAGTAAATACCAAAGAGCAGCGAAAGCAAATAGCCCCAAGTCATACCACTGAACAAAAGACACACAGGGAAAAAGAAGAGTTAATTAAAACTAATGCAACAGAAAACTGCTGTAAAAATGATAGTATTTAATTGAAAATTAATCATAAAAAGTTTATTATGATATAAATTCTTCTATAGTCAAGATGGAATCTGGACTAGTATGGACTAGTAACAGCATAACAACACATTAATACATTAATATATATTAATTGTACAGAATAATACCCTAGGTTTTGCTAAAAACATTTAGCAAGTGCTGCATAAAAGAAGTTCTACTGTACTTATGAAATTATGTGCAGTGAGTTTCTGCACAACATTCCTGCTAATTAGTTGAAGAACTTGAGGTATTTAAGAATACAAACAGTAGTGTTAAGAACAAATAGTTTTAGACAGTATTTTCAAGCGTCTTAATAACTGCAAAGAAGGAGGGTTTAAAAAACAAAACCATGAAAACACATGTCCAAAATAACTTTTTCATGGACAAACGCCACCATGGTAGACTATGTTACTTGTATCAGTTAGAAGAACTTACACTGCGACTTGAACTATTTAAAAATAGGGGGGTTTGTTTGTTTGTTTTTCCATTTTTAAAGGAGGAACATGTCCTACATTGTATTGCTGTAGTATAACTGATAGGGAGTGTGGCGAGCAGACAGTACATGGATAAGTAACTGGAGCCAATAGTGACAAATCAGATCCACTATTGACCAAGTCATTGTCTGAGTCTGGGTTGCAAAGGGATATAATAATAGCAATGCAGCTATTGTGGCTTTGAGGAAGACCTTAAAAAACATGTAATTCTCCAGGATTGTGGAGAGTGTAGATTGCACATCAGAAGGCAACTACTGAAGCAAAACCGAGAGCTAAACCATTCTCATTTCACTGGGGCCCCACGATCATACTTACCTTGGAAGCATTCCAGCTCTGGGGTCTGTGAGCCTGTGCTGCTGGACTCTTCCATCTCTTGTCTCCGCTGCTGCACTATTCCATCCAAATCAGAATAGTCCTCATTGAAATCCTGATGGGAAGAAAGAGTCACAAGAAAACTCAGCCCTGTTCTCAATCTAAACAACCTTATTTCCCCTGACCGTTCTCTAGAAACTTAACCAACAATTAAAAGATTTAACATTGTTTAACCAGGAACAATCTCTGATATCAAGACATTGAGATCAAGTTAACAAAATAAGCCCTGTGTGGTCACCAGAATTCAAGCCTCATTCCCTGCTTTCTTTTAAGCAAAAAGATTAAATCTGTGTGCAGAAGAAAGACTATTAAGTTAGACAAACTGAGAAATTCAGGACAGGCATTATTAGAATTAGAATCTGGTCTCCACGTGTGGCTACACAGCTCTTTCAAATGTTTGAGCTGGTCCACAGAGGAAGGATTGCAACTAGAAACACTTTAAGAACTGCTTATGGCAAAGGAAGAAGTAACTTCAAATCAGCACAGAGCGCTGCAGAACCTGACTGCTATAGAGAGATACATAGAGCACACAGACTTTGGAATACATACAAAGCATGCAGGTGTATATATGTATACTACCACGTGATCAGATCAAATTGCACTTACGCCAATCACTCCCATTGCTTCCTATTGTTAAAAAAACTCATGGAAGTTTTAAAAACAGACCTCATGATTTCCTTCAGTTTCTTCTTCTTAGCCACTTTAAGTAGCTCTTGCAATGAAAAATACCATGCAACAAATGAAGGAACATTTCAGCCATTTACCAGAGGCAGAGCTGTAGGACGATCGGCTCTGAAGCTGTTTTCCGCAGAAGAGGGATTTGGACTGTTGCCCATGCTTGTATCCTGAAAAAAGCAGAAATGTTAACGAGGAACACACTCAGAAACTACGTAGCATTTAAAACCAGAAAAACAATAATAATGAACAGGAACCTATATACCATCTTCCCTCCCATTAGTACTTACCTCAAGATGTCTACAGATAGATTTTAACAGCTTGTAGGTGGTATCTCTGGAGAGTAAGGAGACAAACATGTACTGAAAAACAAAAGTTCCAGAACTGTTTGAGAAAAGGCATACAGTACAAGCTTCCTTTTATCTAAATAAAACTGTTAGGTTGTTTTGCTGATGAAGTAACTATTTTCAAGAGCTTTTGTACAGCAGGAAAAAGCTTCACTCCATCTAAGCCTATGACCTGCAATTAATCACAAGGAGCACATAACAGGCACATAAAAGTTACCATATTCTCCTGCAGGAACCAGAGCATGGTCCAGATCTGCTTTTTTCTTTTTTTAAAAAGACTTTGTAAACTATGTTTTACCTACCCTTTAAAAACACCAAACAAACAAAAAACAACTCATTTTTTGTACAGTCTCCTGCATCCACAAAATATTTCTACAATGAAAACAGGCTGTTTCTAGAGCTGCTCTTAGGATAATCGGATTTTCTACTGACTGATGTTACTACTATTCTGAGTATCACTGGAAGCAAGTATATTTTGTGCATCTAAGGTACAGCTGGTCAGGTGAGAGACACAAGTAAATGAAAGAATACTGTCAGAGCTGCCAACAAGGCAGGTAACTCTCTGTGCATGCACTTCCTGACCCAGCTGTTTCAGTTCCCCCAATGCTACTACTCTACAGTCTTGGATAATGGGGAATTATTGATTACAGGGAGCAGGTGGCAACCAGAGATTCTGTTTCTTATTTTCTCACTGAGTTCTACATAGCTTTGTTTACTCTAGATCCAAAGAAAAAAGACAGGGTTAGAGGGAAAAAAATAGTCCTTGCCTGTCACAAGAGAGAAGGCGGAAGAGGCTAGGATCATTCTCTAAGAAACCAGATCGTCCAGGGTCCTAAGTCTAAATGCCTACATATGACTAATTTCTATAGCTGTTTAAATGGCTACTTAGCACCTTCAAGAATTGCTCATACTACAACCAATAAGGAGGGATCACAAAAAAATAAAGTAGAAAACAAATGAAAAAGAAAGCAAGCAGAGTGCACCATCTTTGCCCTCTACCAGTACTTACCCTGTCTGTGACTGTTGCTATGATCAGAGCATTTGGCACAAGAAGGGCAGTTTTGGTTTTCTTCAAAAGTGTCACCGAGAGCACAGGTATACTAATCTGAAACAAGATCAATGTAGTGTTAGAGACCCAAAACACCCATACACATCTGCACATTCTTTCACAAGGAGCCAGCCTACCAACTGTGATAAGCCAGACCTTCAGCATTCTTCATTTCAAGATTTCTCTACTACATCCATGATTACTAGTATTTCATTGGCATAGGTATGGCTTCAGATTATTACCATTTCTTAACTATATTTAATTGTGCTTTTATGAGATGCCAATACAGGCCTTTGTGTCATCCTTTTCCAATCCCTCTGACTCTTACAAGACTACAGGCTTAGTTCACTGTAGATCTGCAGAACAAACCAGTCTTAAAGCTAGGCTTCTTCGTTTAGAAATAAAACATTTCAAAACACATGAGACGAGAGGCTTGTTGAAGAATGAACATTGAAGTCTCCTCACCGCCTACAGATCCTATCGTCTGCAACAAGCATCTGAGCAAACAGCTGCTCATCCTTCAGTAATTATGAAAGATCCAATACTCACACAGCCACTGACCTACTCAAACCAATTCCTGTGTGTGCCATCCAGACTGTCTACATTTACATTGAAAAATTATCAATTTTCATTCCTGCATTGTGTTTATATACCCCGTTAGCTTAATGCCTACTAAGTTTTGGAGTATTTCACTTTAGGTATTCTGTATGGGCTCTTCTGGTAAATTCCATAGTTCAAAGGACCAAACACATGGTTTGAGTTTCAGTTGAAAAGCCTAGAGCTTAGTGAGTTAGGCAAATACAGTAATCCTGCCGACACATGATTAAGATACAGGTCCTGTTAAAAATTCCTTTGGCACACAGTCACAACTACCTGAAAAATTTGGAAGCAAGATGAAAAGTGTCCAAAGATTATTCAACAAGAAATCACAGACCTGAATTAAAAACATTTGTCAGCGCAGAAGAAGAACAAAGTTTCTCTGTGCACAGTTTCATAAAGCCTTGTTAACTTTTGTTCAGAAGAGCAACACAAAGTCATGAAATGAAAGATTGTTTCAGGTAACAAAAAATGTATTTGTGTACATGAGTCTGGGCACAAGATTGCCAACCATTGTTGAAGCATGGCTAGTCAAGTATCTGCTTGTCATCTAGCGGCTAGAACCTCACTCTTCACTTGGTACTTACTTTTGTTAAAAAAGCGTGCTGGCAGAAATACACCAAACTAACCCAAGTCATACAATTTTAATTATTCTTAGTCCCAGGCCTGGGTCTAAGAATCTGTAAATCCGGTCATAATTTGTTCTACTGATTTTTTTTAACATGTCAACTCTCTTTCTACTGCTTCAGAAGCCATACCTTTTGTAAATGAGTATTAAACACTACACCTTTTCTTCTTAAACTTGTATCACAAAGTTTTTGCAATACTTTTCAATGCTTTTCCCAGCTTTTTCTGAGACTGGGGAGATGGGAGAAGCTACGATGTGTGTTTAATAAGAAAAACTCAGAATCCTCAGGTAACCAGAATAGAATCTTTAAAATAAACAGAACAAAATAACAAAAAAAGCCAAAAACAAACCAGAAGATTTTTTTCAGCACAAATCCTGCTAATACTAATGATAAAAAGGCAGCTTAGAAATTTTCTAATTGGTTCAGTTCACCTCAAAGAACTTTAAATCAGAGATGTCAATGGCATTCTACTGCATGCAATTTTGATAGATAACATTACTGTAATCAAGACTAAAGTGTACTTAAGTGGGATTAAGTACTTGCTTACTGCACTGTTACCCCAGCATTAGATTAAAATGGTAAAATCACTGTAAAGTACTTTATTTCTATCTGGAGTAATAATTATTTCAGGAAACAAGGTTTACTGGCAGGCAACTTGGAAAGTAACTAAAATCAGTAAGATAATGCTTACCTCCAGGAAAGACTCAAGGTCAATATATATATATATAGCCAAAACAGAACTACCTGGAAACACAGTGATGTCTTTCAAAGCCTATTCAATCCTGCAGAAGCAATCTTTTACTTTTGATTATGCACAGTGTTTATGCTGCAGACTGAAATCTCCTGACTTGCATGGCTATCCCCTCTACAAAAGCTTTCTACAAAAAAAATTCTGCAGGTGGAAGAATTCACATTGCAAAATTTATTAGAATGCGTAGACCTGCTATTTCTCACAATAAAACACTTTATCGCTGAGCTTAAACTGTTTTACAAGTCCTAAGCAATAGAGGTTGTGGGTCTTGGAAGCTTTGTCAGTGTACCCCACTGCTAAGAATGTTCCTCTTACTCTCAAGCTTGATTTCCTCCTCTGCCTCCCATTACGTTATTTATCATTATATCCCTGATTTTCCTGCTTTTTTGTTCATGGTATTCCTAAAAAATTGTGCTCTCTGCATATGACTGAAAAAACCTTTAAATGTGTGTTACAGGGGTAGGGGAAGGCAGCTGGAAAAAAACGATTAGGCCTATCCTCTTCACTCTTCATTTTACCCACTATGTTTCTGAAAACAATGCCACATAATTGAATAATTTGGTATTTCACTATAGCCACATTTATAAACAGTGTCTATTCTCCCTATATTGTAATGTTTTCCCTTTTCATCGTATACATAAATATGTATATATTCCTGCATTTAAAACCCTGTTGACAAAGCTAATTTTCTAGTACTATCACTACCATTCTTCATCTTTTTTTCCAGGTCTTTCTAGTAGAAGTCTACCAAATAGACTACAATTTTGTATACATTTAGCTTAGTTTTAATCTGGAAAGCTGTCCCACTGTTTGAAGTAGCCACATTGGTTTGTGGAAAACAGGAGATTGCTAGTACAGCCACTTCAATTTTAATTGAACTAATTGCCAATATAACTAATTATGAATGCCAGTACCCAACCATTTGTTAATTTTTATTTCCTTTCCATCCACATTAATGTACTGCCTGTGACTAACAGAATCCATTAAATGGGAATCAACGATAACTCATTCTCTTGAGCCAAGCAGTAAAAAATAATAACCCACAAAATCAGCATGAACGATGTGTTGTTAATAATTTCAAGTGTTCTTTAAGCCTACCCCACCTTCTTAAAATCCCTTTCAAAGAGAGATGGTGTTCCATCAAAACGGTTGACAGTAGAGAAGTGAGACACTGTCAACTCCTAAGCTGGTTTCAGCACCCAATTCACTGACAAAGGGTCTGGATCTAACCAGGAACCTTATTCAAGGAAGTATCCGAGAAAGAGGACAATGAAGTCCTTGCAGGAAATTGAGCTGTTTCCCAAGAAAAGCACAAAAACAAAGCAGAGATCACATAAACAAAGAAAACCATTCCGAAAGCTCTGGATCAACAGAACTAGAACACAAATCTTTCTGGGAAGGTTTTATTTCTATCCGTATGCATATCATTCACCATAAAGGCCCAAGCCATAGATGAGACATATCTGCACCAAGAACAAATAAAACTTGTAAATTAGGATCTGACTATTCATGTCCCATTCATGCTTTTCATATTGGGCTGAAAAGTGAAAATCTAGCAAACTGTTTTTTCTTTCCCCATTCTCTGTTCACGCAGAACAGGAGTGGTAGAAGAATCCCTCAAAGACCTTTCCCACTCAACTCAGAAGCCAGTTTTAGTTCTTCCTCTTTAATTGTCTTAATATGCTTAATCCTTCCCTTCAGTACCCCGACAACATTCTTGTAGTGCTTATACTTTTCAGCCTTCCTTCCTCCTCCTCCTCTTCTCTGAAGAGAGACCTTTTTGTACAGTTTATGGTATGAGGGCTTGGCAATGCTCTCACCCCCGCATGTCAGATTCTTTCATCTGTTTTTTTCAGACAGGAAGTACTTAAAAGAGAAACTCAATCTTTAATAATAATGCTGCAGTTCTAAGGTGACTTTCAGGCACCACTTCTGAACAGTGATTGCACTCAACAATACTTAGAAGCATTAGTAGTATTCTAGCTTTGCATAATAATGTGAACTTCTGATGATGAACAGATTGTTAAGGGATAGCTTTACTCTTCTGCACATAAAGATTTTACTAACCTTCGTGTCTTTACCAAAAACCTTGGAGTGGAAGCAAATCCAGTTTTCAGAAAGGAATAACTTTCCTTGGTACAGAATTTCTTTCTGCAGAGCACAGGTAAAGCCTGAAACAAATAGATACTCTATAATCTTTAAGGTAACCACAACCCATGACAACTGTTACAAATTTAGCTTTTGTTTTGCTCTTTTTTAAAAGCCATGGTATGTTTAGGTTTGTAACTTTTGATAAACATTGTCAGACCCTGAAACACTTGATAAGTTTAATGCTCAATAGATTTCACTGGCCTAAATTCAAACTCAAAATATCTCAAGAACAAAGACTGAAATGCACAGTAACATGCAACCAGGTCCCAGAAACCAAGAATCCTTCCTTTCTGAGAGAAAAATCCTTCCTTTCCTTTCCTATAAACTTTTTGACTAGCTTTCAGGTAACTATACTATGTAAATGTAAAGAGCTTAATGAAAGGTTTTAGGCTTTAAATTTTTAGTTCTATAGCAGTTGCCTGGTCTAGATGACCAACAGAAGTATGACACATGTAAAGTAATACTGCTTTTACTTCACAGCCATTTCTTACTCACAAACTGCTTTCCTTGTATTCCTTTCAAGAAACATTTGTTATATGTATCTACGTAGAATTCACTTGTTATAACTAACACAAAGAACAGTAGAATCTTTAAGTCCTTCTCCTATGTTGAGAGATATTAGTTGGTTAGCTTAAATAACTAAATTCTAATGAGAATAAATTACTTAGGGCTATAACATGGTGTGATTTATGCTGTGTGCTTAGCTTTACTTAGCATGAGCTGCTAGATTTCCTGAAGCCTTTAGGATGCAATGGAATGAATTTTCTCAGTACTTTTCCTATCAGTTGGTACAGTGCTGAGCTTAGTCTTTTAGTATGAGGGAAATACTGATAACACACTGATGTTTTGGCAGTGTTTTCCCCAAAGTCTAGGACTTTTCCGTTCCCCACGTTCTGCCAGGGAGTGCAGGTGCATGAGAAGCGTAAACCAGGAGATAAAGAGGTGACAACCCCCAGCAGAGACTGCACATCAACAGGTTAGAGCAGCCAATGGCCTGCCTGGACACACAAAAAAATCCCAGAAGGCGTTAGAAGACCCCAGACCAAAAATCACCATTGGTCTGAAAGACCCAAAGAGTGCCTGAGGGGCGGGTGTAGAGATCAGAAGGATGTCATTGCCCAGGGATTTCTTTGTTCAAGGTTCCTCTCTGGAGGCACCCAGCCCAGGCTGACCCTGCTGCTGGACCTTTCAATTAAATTACTTATTTTTATAAAATCTGATGCCTGAGACTCTGCTGCAGGAAACCTAGAGTGAGCCTGAAGAAGGAGAGGTCTCACCCGAGAGTGACTCTGTGTGTGAGGAGTGGGAAGGGGCACCCGTTGGCTCTCGGGGGTCATGCCCTAGAGTGAGCCTGAAGAAGGAGGGGTCTCACCCGAGAGTGACTCTGTGTGTGAGGAGTGGGAAGGGGCACCCGTTGGCTCTCGGGGGTCATGCATTGTGAAGGGACCCTGGTCTGAGCAGGGAAAGACTCGGGTGGTGTGTGTGCCACTCCTTGAGTGGGGTGTGCGTGCTCGAGGCTTCTCCTTTAAAATAGCACCAGCATTTTAAAATATTTAAAATATTAAAGCATCATCAAGAGCAAAAACTCAAGCTAGTCACTTGACCAGTGCTGTCTCAAAATTAAGGAGAGACTTCAGTAAGAAAGCTTCAATACCAGAACAACGTTGCGCTAAGTTACTCTGCTAGGAAGTGCAAAGCAAGCTACAATCCCCAAAGATGCCCAACATCTGACAATTTAAGATTTGCAAGATTACCACAAAAACACCCACCACATGCAGATGGAGGCCCTGTAGCTCTAGGCTGCTGGAGTTTAAGGTTTCTAAAGTTTAGGTAGTCCCTCTTGTACATCACCACAGTAGGCAGGTAACAACATTATCTTAGATCCACAGCCAGCAATGACAAGGGGGTTAGTACTTACTTTGTTTCAGTGGTTCATCAATGGGAACATCTACAAACAGCTTATGAAAGTGTGCATTTGCCTTCAGCTAAAAAACAAAAAGCCCCACACCCAGAGACACATGCCTTATTAGATATTCTTACAATCAAGTGACCCATTCCACTTCCTGTCCTCCCAATACCTTCTTATTTTGCCCACTTGTTTTGCTATGTCGTTATTAAGTCTGTATCCTGCTTTGCCCAGACCTTAACACAATGATAAAAAAGGAACCTATGTCCTTATACAACCACAAACTATAATATTGCTAACAAGGGGGCTCTACAGCAGTTTTGTATTTACTCTTACTTATATATAAACAAACAAGTCCATCCTCTGCCCTACCTGATTTGAGGGACGTTTGAGGGAGGGTTTCCTTTCAAGCTTGGAGTCACTCTTGATATCCATTGCTGGGAGTGGACTATCTGTGCTGCTCTTTGTCCTGAAGATTAAAAAAAGACATCCCATATAAGCTTGGCCACAGTACATTAGTCTTGGTAAGTTATCAACAGGACGCTCTTTTCCATGAAACATATTAATCCTTTAATAACTATTACTGGATTCATCAAGGATTATGCAGCAATAAGACAAGCATATCTTATTCTTAAACCATGCTATCCCTCACTGAAATTCTTCTTTTAATTAAGAAGTAATACTCTAAATTACTAGTTGTAAGGAAGAAAAAAAAAAGCTTAAGACATTTTTACAACTTAGTGAATTATCAAAATGCTTAGCTTCATGGTCGCTTGTTTCTGGGCAGCATGTAAAACACTAACACTAAGCATGTTACCTATTAACGCAAGATAAAGTAAGATAAAACTTAGTAGCTGAGAGAGCAACTTGTACTATAAAACGTGAGATCATTTGGAAAGTGCAACAGAGAACAAATACAGGTGCATAAGTCAGAGGATGGCTATGAACTGTGTAATTAGTGTAATGAAATCATTAGGATAGCCAGCAGTCCTAGAGGAGATGAGAGGGAATTGTGAGTGCCAGTTGCAGGAAAAGCTGTACCTGTATGGCTCTAGCCATGCATATCAGAAAAAGAAAACCAACCCCAAAGCCAACAGTTCTAGAGTAGAACAAGTACAGAGGAAAGTACCTGTGGGTGGCTGGAAAAATAACTTTTGTTTTATACAGGAGAAATTAATGGCATGGACTGCTCAGAAACACAAAACCAGAGGTGGGACAACAGTGTTTCATAAATTAGGAAGAGAAGAACATTATCCCTGGGAATTATTTAACACAGAACAAAAGCATATCAACAGGCAATAAAAATAAGGTAGTTCTTTTTTAGAAACCTTCAGATGCAGACTGAAGAACAGAAGGAAAAACACAATACAGGACTCCTATACTGAATGACCTGAAAAATACATTGTGCTAAAGATTAAATGGGGAGAGAAAGGTGCTACAGAAGTTTCCACTATGGCACCTTATCCTGCATAATAAGTCCTTACTTTCCTAAACTTGAAAGGTTCAGGATTTCCAGTAAAACCTGTAAGGATTAGAGGAAGAGAACACCCAAGTGTAATGGGGATACAGCTGGATTTAGGGAAGAGATTGCATAGCACTGTTGATTTAGAGAGCAGGGGGACTTGCTGCATATCTCAGGTGGTCCCTCACAGAAAAAAAAAAAACCTCTGAAATACATGTGTACGTGTATTTGTGTTACCTGTGTGAAGTACAGGTCAAACTGAAATGAACTGTGAGCCTTACAAAAAACTTATGCCAAACCCTCACCAGCACACAGTCAATTACATTGTATGTGAGAGGTAAGACAAGATGGAGATCACAGAAAAAAAAAAAGAAAAAAAAAAAGTAATCGCATCTTCCTTCAAGTAGCGTCTCCTCAAAGATGCTTCAGGAAATTAAGTGATTTTTTTTTAATATCTGCCTTGTGATCAAATACAGTATCAGGTAGACTGCTGACTTCTGCATTGGCTGCTCCATTGACAAAGAGAAAGGAATGCAAAATTTGTACTCAAGCCCTCCAAGCAGGATGTTAGTATTATTTAATTTTCTTTTAGGAGCGTTTGAAATGCATCCCAGTTCTCCAACAAAGGAAGAATGCCTGATTTTGCAGACATTACAATAATCTGATGAAATATACAGTACAGTCTAAAATTAAAACTTCTGTCATTGCTTTACCATGAACAATCAATATTTCAGCATAAAAATGCTCTGGGAACAGTGCAGGATCCAAACTGCAGGTCAGTTTGACTGCCTGTCAAAAGGATGTAACTAGCAGTGGCACCAAACAGTGCAATGTATTTTTTCCTCCTAGAACAGGGAAGCTAAACCAGCCCAAAACCTGAATTCCCACTATTCTGACTGACAGAGCAGCCCCTAGAAGGTGGCTCAGATTCCTGTTTGTTTGCATAGCGTGCAAGCTAAACACAAAACTGGACGTCAGATAAATCTTGCCACTCAGTGTAGCTTTTTGAATGGGTTGTAACGATTCTGATTATCTGCCTAGAAGAAAACTGACAGCATTTCTGACATTACCTAGCAACATCAACTTTTTTCCGGTAATCAAAATATTCCATTTCAGCACTAGTGGTGTGCAGCAACACAGGAGGTGATTTTCCTGCTTTTCTTTTTTCATCTGTTCCATTTTCTCCATCTGAACTGCAAAGGGAAAAAAAAAAAAAAAAAAAAAAAAAAACATACACATTGTAGGATTCATATTCATGTTAAGAGCCACTGCAACATGTTGACAATACAGCACATATAAAAGAACAAAACTATGACGTATCTTTAGCATTAAGGTCCTGAAAAGACTTCATCTACTGACTTAACAGTATATTATACATCTGAACAGCATTCTGAGCTCCAGTACTGGAATTTCAGCAATGACGAGCGGAAAATTGAAATACTGCCATGGATATTTCAGTGCTCATAAAATTTGTAGCCGTAGCTTCTGTTCCAAAAAGAATGCCTTGTTTAGGAAAAATGCATTCCAAGTCCAGTACTCAGATTCAATGACTAATGGAAATCCATTTGATTGACAAGTTGGGAGAAAAACATGCTGCATGACAGTACCTAGTGCTCAGCAGATTATTTGCGGCTCAAGGTAGAAAGAGGAAGCTGGGTCCTATTTTGCCTCTCATTTACCTCTTCTGTGAGAGTCCACCTGCAGGTTTTTCACAATAAAAGGTCCTCTCAAAGTTTCAAAAGTGCTGGGTTTATTTCACAGAAGCAGCACGGCCACCACAGTGCACTGCCCTTTCACAGCATATGCCACTGCCTCAGAAATATACGCTAAGGAACTAGAGTCAGAGGGCTGAGAGATGTGCCATCAGAGACTTTTCCTGGCTTCTCTTTTCATAATTTTCTAATAAAATGTTAGCTCAGAAAATTTAGAGGAAAAGAAGCTGTCATTAATAGCAGGATCTGAAGAATGACAATACTTTAAAATAAGACATTACAAAAACACACACACTCCTTCTTCAAAGATTAAAGCCTCAGAAAGACTACAGGATGCTCTTTGCATTAACATAAGAAAGGCAAATATGTTGCCTGTTAATTTAATGCCTGGCCTGAATGACCTCATTTATAGAGCCTTTCATTATAAACTTTAATTTCTGCAATTTTACAGCAACACCACAGCCACTGCCATCATCTGACAGTGTCTTTACAGTTTCTTTTCCTACTAAGACAAAAGTTTTGCCGACAAGAGATTCCCAGACTAACAATCTATTTTCTTTTAGGAAGGGTTATCAAAAGCTCCATGGCTTTGTTTACACTCTGGTGAATAAGATCAGAAGATACATCTCACAACATCTAAATTGAGATCTAATGAGTTGGTATCCTACCTCGCAGCTAAACTAGACTATGTCACAGGACAAAAGCCATGGAGTTTTACCTTATTGGTGCTGGGACTTGTTATCAAGGTCTATGTTTACAAACAGCAACTATTCAGCTATCTAGTCTTTCCTCAACCCTTAGCACTCCCCACCACAAGCCCACTTTCACAAGTGAATTGACACTTCCTAATTCACACTTTGTGGATACTCGAAAGGGTTACAGCACTAATAAAGTCAATGGGGAAAAAACTAATTGCTTCCCCACTGCTTCACTTTTGGATTGGCTCTGCCAGATCACAAGGCACCAGCTTCTACTTTCAGCCAACATAAACTAGAATTAAATGGGAAATTCAAGCAGAACACAATCTTTTGCCTGAAAAACCCACGTAAGCAGCTTTACACAGTTTAACATTATAAGTAGAGAGAACTGCCAATCCAAGGTCCACCCCGCAAGCATGGAGAAAGTTGTATTCCAAAAGTCTGCAAAACCCACACATGTCTTGGTCAGAGTTTTGCTATCAGTTATTTTTTTGTTCTCCAAATTCTTGTGCTTCAAGGGAGGCTAGAGAACACCAGACATTAGTGGGATGAGGAACAAGGCGAGGCAAAATTGTCAGATTCTGTCACACCTGCATTTCAAAAGAGCAGCATGCCATGGAAATTCTCAAGTGAGTAAGACTGCACAACACAGCAGTATTTTTAAGATATAGAGGCTTGAGCCTGGACCCTGACTGGTTGTCCACCACTGCCTTGGGCAGCCTGCTCTTCTTACACAGCAATGCTATCGACTGATCAAAGCAGCCTGTCACACCCCCACCTCTGCATTACCTAGAACACAAGATGTAGTGTTCACTTACACCTGCCGGCATGCTTAGATGTTTTGTTGCTCCTAAAGACTTTGTTTACTTGCTGCTCATATTCCCTTTTCCCTCACCCATAAATTAATCCCTACTTCACAGTTAAGCCTATGAGACTGTTCTTCCTGTCTGTCTTTCCTGTTAACCATTACTATTCCAGAACCTCTACTGCCTGAAGTCCTCTCTAGCTACTTTCAGATGGCGGAGTGCTGGGGCATCTCACCACACTAATCTTGCTGACTATTGTATGTGGAAGTGCTGAACTATCTCATGCCAGCCTGGTCACCTCTCCATGGTCATCTTCTGCAGCTGAGAACTGGGAGAACGCACCCAAACACAGCAAGAGTTTCCTGCACAACATCTCAGGCATGAGGAGACTCACCTGTGTAACACATACCACTGACAGTAGCAACTGGTTTTGCTGTGTCTGTCCTTCACCCTTCCTCCCATATGCCCCCTTCACATAATGAAAAACTAGACAAGGATTTGTCCTTACACTTCTGGTATCTATAGCTCACGCAGCTTAGAAGTTCCTAGCAGGTGTCTTTAAAGTATCTGCAGAATCTTAGCCGACCTTCTGGAGAACGAAAGATCACAGGTATGACCCAAAACCAGTACAATGTTGCTCATCAAATTAGAAGCAAATTAAAGCACTCTTTACATTTTCATATGTGAGTCAGGATTCATAAACACTTTGTAAAAAGAGCACAAAAGTCAGCAATCCATGAAAAAAAATTAGATCAAGTGCACTTAAGAAACAAAGTGATGCCCACTACAACTGTAGCAACTGTTGTCTATATGTGAATTGTATTTGCAAATATCAGAACAAAGCACGTAAACTTTGTGACATAAGGACTTTGTTGACATGAAAATACACATTTTGCAAGTTGAACATATACTGTGGATTTCTTACTAACAAGCCTATTAAAAAAACCAGCTAAAAGTAAGAAAGCATAGCTGTCTCTAGTTTCCAAACAAAGAATGGTTGTCATAGGGAGTATTTTCAAAGGCAAGGCTTGTGCTTACTATGGGATGCTATCTTGTATCTAAGCAAGTTAAAATAAACATTACTTGCAAGCACTCTAAACTTTTTGCAAGAAACATTTCTTCTCCTTTTTTTTAAATACACATCAATAACAGAACTAAGTAATTTAAGATTAAATCACAGAAAAGGGAAACTGCTATGAAATACATTAACCACGGCAGTGGACTAAGTTTCTTTCTAATGAAGTCTTCAGAAGTATGTTATTCCTCAATGTATTTTAGAGGTCAGAGGAACTTCATCCCTTCTGATTTGAATGGTTTCTGCGAAACAAAAACTTTCTGACAGAGAGGTGTGTCTTCTGTTTCACATACTGCAGAAAGTTTTCTGAACTTGGAAAGGTTTTCTTCTTTTTGGTGTTAATCTTCTCCAGAACCTGAAAAATTCACACTTTCACGGAAAATTATGCTGTGTCGGGTTAATGGGGATTTTTCAAGAGGAAAAAAGTTACAGCCAGTAATGTAAAATAAAAGCTTTTCCCCTGCTCCCTTTAAAATTATTTTGAATAAGCAGCACTGAACAGAAATAACATGAGAGATGTGCTAACAGGCAACAGTTTGGAAAGTGATTGTTAAGGAATAACAGTTGTCTTTGACAACCCCAATATAATCTTTCCAGACACAAACACTTCTCAGGCATACATAAGAGAGAACAAAAACTCCAGAAGTATACAGTGGTTACAGTCTTTAATTCCCCACAACTACACAAACCTTTATACAAATCTTCCTCAGATCCACCCCAAAGGACACCTATGCTACTTGGTCTGCATGATAACAGGTCTAAAAAGTTCAAAAGACACAATCAGTTGCAACAAACCAGTCCACCGGTCCACAAACTGCAGATCAGTTACGTAGGGGGACAAAGGTATCTTGAATAACCAGAGATGCTAGCTACAACTTCAATTGTTTGCAAAACTGCAGCCAAATCAATATTTCTGTAGGGTTTAACGCAAGTCAGCACTGCTGCAACAGTCTCTCCGTGGATGGAGCATATATACTAGATCATCACGTTACCTTAGAAGCCCTGTTAGCCTGCTTCATCTCTTTTATACAAAAAGGATTAATTTTCAACAGCCGTTAGACTGCTGGATTACTGCAAACAATCAACCAAAAGACTGTGGAGTAATTTCTCCCCTAATATCCGCAATCATGGTTGGTACAACATATGTAGAAGTATCTGTCATAAATACAATGACATTCTGTATCTTTTGGTTCTGTTGGGTAGCTGTTACCAGACCAAAAGAATTTGACTAGGGGATCAAAGTAGTGCCCAAATACTAAGAGATATTGTTATTTAAGTTATTCTTACTCCCAGACATGAGTCTCTTCAGGTAAAGGAATTGGTTATTCTTTCAGAAATAAAAAGCCAAAGGGATAGGCTCAAAACATTTCAGGGTCCCGATTTAAGCCTTTTGCAGGCTAAAAAGTAGAGGAGAGGGAGCAGGATGAAGAGATTTATCTAGGCAGCATCCAGGAGGCATTCTGGCAACATGCTTCACTGACTGCAAGGGATAAGATGAAATGTGCCAATGTTTGAAAGGGCAGCCTGCTAAGCTTGCTGCAGGACAGAGGCCTCCTCCTCAGCACAGACCTTCATTGATCTTCCAAGCCCCAAGAAGCAACGATCTCAACTTCCCTTCTGCTAGGCCTAAAGTCTTAAATCTTCTTTCAGAAAGTATGTCCCATCATTCCACTAAACATCTTTTTTATGTGCCACACCAGTCTGAGCAAACCTTTTTTGGATATATAATCAGAATCCAGAGGCTTTATCTGATCAGCTTGCTTTCATACCTCACACAGTTGAATTACTTCACTGCTGGACTGAAGAAGAGACCTTTACCATTGTAAACTCTCTTGCTGTCCTCTTCATAGCAGATTCCAGTGGTCTCTACTGGATAAACTAACAACAGTGCTCAATTTGAGG